TTTAGTTTAACTAATGTTCTTATTCATATTCGAAGTGTGAATCTTTGAATAAGTAGTAAGATATATATAAATTGAAAAATTATAATTTTTGTTGAAGATTAGAATATAAGAAAAAAATTATCTGTAAAAGTCTTTTTGATGTTCAAGTCAATACATAAGAATTTGGATCTTTTGAATAAAAGAAAATGTTAATGAGAACATTGAGATAATATAAGATAATATCAAAATAACATTTTATCTTATATATGATAAATTAGTAAAATAATAATAATAATGTGATATCTTATATAATATACTATCTATTTTGTAAATGTATAGTATGAGGAAATATCATGAAGTAGTCAAATTATTGAGATTTAATCACATATTTTAGGTAAATGGATCTTGTTGGGTTGTATTACTTACCATATTTGTTGGGACAAATATGTATATAAGTCCCATAAACTTGGAAGTTCCATTAGCTTCATAAGTTTGATGTCCTTCCTGGTTTATCCGTTTGTCGATAATAGAGTTCTGAGACTCCATCGTCTCTCCATCCTAACAGGGTTGTGATGCCATCGTGCACCATTATCTTGTTTTGAGTGACAGGATCAACCACGAGTCTCCTTGGTCCTTTGCTAGGTTGATCTTTTACAGGCTATTCGGGATATATGTCAAGTAGATTGACTGTGATTCACCCTGAACTATTGTCGGGTGACAAACTGCTATCTACTCAAGAATTGCATGACGCTCCTCCTAACGGCTTCCCTAGCGCACGAGAGTACAGCTCTTGTCGCGATGCTTTCATGATGGAAACTCCTTACTTTTCGATAAATGCCATGTTTAGATTACCGACTAAGGAGTTTCCCTCCAAGGACGGAAATGCAGAGGAGGCTTCTTGTTCTCTAGGTTGGTCAATTTTTGGTTTAGTGCCTAGAGGTCCGCTTAATGCTAGGTGTGCAAGGCTTCAAGCTCTTCGTCGTAGCACTTGCATCGTTGCTTGTTCCCTGATATCAACGTTCACATATGATTCTAAAGGGTTATCACTAAGTTGGAGTCAATCTCGTATGATAATTGGGCTTGACTTTAGTAGTAACCATGAAAGAGTGAGGTTGAGGCAAAGTTTTAGCAAGGTCACACAATGGATGCCAATATTTTGATCTAAAGTTTGTTGACTATCATTGTTAGGGTTAATCATCGCGTATACAAGATATTGTCTACTTTGGAATCTAAAACTTCATCATGGTTTTGTCCTTAAAAAACGCTTCAAAGGATGGAAGAAGGAAGGAGTATTCCAATTATAGGAATATTGGGTGTAACAAAACATAAGTCCCCGAATCAAGGTCTAAGAAGAATGATAATTCATCTCCAATGGGAGCTTAAGGGAACCAATGGTTTGTCTTTAGAACCTCGACCCCACAATGGGCATTAATGCTTTTATAGGAATTCAGAGTATGAACCTTCAAACAAGTGACAAGATGTATGAATTGGAGAAGCTTGATATATGCTCATGTGAGTTAGAACACAAGAGAATATTCACTTACAAAAGACTCTTTAATACTCAAGTCGATAAAAATTTGAATCTTTTGAATAAAAAAAAGTAAGTATGAAAAAATGTGTATTTCCTAGTAAAATGTCATCCATATTTATAGAGTTTATAAGTTCTATCACTTATATGATAAAAACAAACAATATCAAAATAATATCAAAAGTAATATCAAAATAACATCTTACCTAATTAATAGAATAACAGTAATAATGTAATACTTAATATACCATATATTTAATAACATATATTATTAATATATAAATATTTAAACTAACAAATATATCCTATAATATCTATGAAGTTGAATGTTTCTAAAGTGTAAGCATATTTATTCGGTCGGGAACTTTAAAAAAAGGATGAATATGACGATGTCTGATACGGAGAAAATGAATATATAATAGCAATGGTTTTTTATCAGAGTAGAAAGCTATGAATGAAAAGTGGGTGATGAGAGATATTATTAATTAATGGACACATTTATATTATTAATTAATGGACACATTTATGCAAGTGAAAAAACCATAATCCCATGTTGTTGTTAATTATTTGAAAGGTGGCTGGTTTTGGTGACCAACCAACACCAATGAACTTCCCAACCATGGTCTTATGTAGTTCAAAAATAGTCAAGTGTGGTTCATCACTTCCCACATTTTAGACTGAGATATACTTCATCATCTTCAAAACTATCACCATTTAAGTGTGCCTCGTTTCTCTGCATCAAGAGAAGAAAACCAACGTCACGTTTTCTCAACAATCATGGGTGAATAAAATCATTAATTTTAATCTTCATTTTATATTATGGGTAAAGAACAGAACCATGAGTAAAAGTTGAGAAGCAAAAAGAAAAAAAAAAGGAAAATCTAAGAACAACTCGAGGATTGAACTTTACAATCTGTGGACAGAGATATAGAGTTCCATCTGTTTCCGTGTTTCAACGCAAAGGTCAGATCTGATATTCTGGATGGATCTGAAAACCATGAGCTATAAATGTGGTAACGTGCAACATGCTATTATCGACCACCCAAGACACAGCTTGTCGCCATTTTCTTATGGTAAAAGTAATTACTTTTTAAGAAAGGAGACTACAAAATCTGTTACTACTAATAACGTATTTGGGTTGAAAAACATCCAAACGGACATCGTCGAAACACCATCCGGACCCTGATTACTATAATTTCAGAACAACATTATCAAATTCCATAATCAAATCCGACAAATCAAAACCAAAACATACAGTGAAGCATTAAACCTATATCTAATTAGAGAACAAATGCAGAGATATGAGAGAGAAGAGATACGAATCAGAACGAACTAGAGAGAGACATCTTATAAGGGATGGAATTTTCAATTTTGTGAAATATAAAATGCGTTGCAGGGGGCTTTTTCACCCTTTTAGATTACAATCAATAGGTACAAAATTAACATAAAATTTAATTGCATCAAAACAGTAATATTAAATCAACAAAAAAATAAATTTTAAGTAAAAAAAACAGTTTTTAAACTATAAGGAAATGGCTTTAGACCTAGTACTAACGAAACACGCAAATTATTCATGAAGACTTAGCAACACATGAATTGTGAAGGGAGGGATTAAGTTCTAGAGCAGACGCCTAGGCCTGAGGCTTGTCTGACTTGAGTGGCTTGACAACTTCCCATGTGAAGTCAGGGTCATCCCTTCCGAAGTGTCCATAAGCAGCTGTCTTCAAGAACCTGTGGCCACCCCTCTTGAGGTCCAAATTAATGGTGATCATTCCAGGTCTGAAGTCGAAATTCTCCTTCACAATCTGGAGAATCTCCTTGTCCGGAATCTTTCCGGTTCCATAGGTGTCAACAAACACTGACAATGGCTCGGGGACACCGATGGCATAAGAAACTTGGACAATGCACCTTCTCGCAAGCCCATTTGCCACAACACTCTTCGCAGCCTGCCTCACAATATAGGCACCACTTCTGTCAACCTTCGTGGGGTCCTTGCCTGAAAAGGCACCACCACCATGAGCACCCCAGCCACCGTAGGTATCAATGATGATCTTTCTTCCAGTGAGACCAGCATCACCATGGGGACCGCCAATCACAAATCGGCCCGAAGGGTTAAGGTGGAAGATGGTCTTCTCATCAAGGTACTTCTCCGGAATGACAGGCTTGATAACATGCTCTTTAAGGTCAGCAGCAATTTGGTCATTGCTCACAGTCTCATCATGTTGGGTGGAAATTAGAACGGTGTGAACACGTACTGGAACCATGGCACCGTTGTCATTGTAGTACTCAACAGTTACTTGTGTTTTACCATCTGGCCTCAGCCAAGCGCAGGTACCATTCTTCCTAACCTCGGTTAGGCGAGCACCGAGTTTGGTTGCAAGGACATGGCTGAGCGGCATGTATTCAGGGGTTTCGTCAGTGGCATAGCCAAACATGTGACCCTGGTCACCAGCACCAACCTCCTCCGGCCGCTTGGTGAAGTGGCCGTGCACACCCTGGGCGATATCAGGGCTCTGCTGCTCGATGTTCACCAACACCTTGCATTTGTCAGCATCAAGACCGACATCATCAGAGATGAATCCAATGCTGCGGCATGTGTCACGGACAATCTTCTCGTAGTCTACTTCGGCCTTGGTTGTGATCTCCCCAAAGACCATGACCATGTTTGTCTTGGAGCATGTTTCACAGGCAACCTTGCTGTCAGGGTCCTGAGCAAGGCACGCGTCGAGCACTGCATCAGAGATCTGGTCGCACAGCTTGTCGGGGTGACCCTCGTTCACAGACTCAGATGTGAAGAGAAAGGTTTCGGTTGCCATTTATGAAGCTGCAGAGGACACAACGTTTAGTTTTACAATGTACATATGCTTAAGCAAGAAAAAAAACCTGTGGGTGCCATAATGGCAGCTGAGATTCGATATCATATATTCCAAACAAAGTAAATTAAAGCATACATCCCTAGAGCAAATTGATAGAAAATCGCGAAAGTTTATGCCAAGTTGGATTAAAATAGCTTCATCTTGATCTACTTTTAGAAAAACTGCTGATCCTAACAAAATAATTGCAGATAAAACGATAAGAAAGTATATACAAGGATTCCCGGGCACCATCTTGGAAGGAATCTTGGATTTCTGAAAGAAGAAAAATTATCCCTCATCGAAGTAATTTTAAATGAAGACAACGCTAAAGGGTTCAAGAAAGAAAAGATTAAATGAGCACTATCACATGAGGCACAAAAACTAGATCCAGACAGAGAAAGAATAAGTTAGAACAGAGTATTCACGTGAAAACATCAGATCTATACAGCAAAAGACCAAAACTCAACAGAAATAGCATCCCATTTCAGATAATCAAACGACAACAGTGAAAAGCATAGAAGAAAAGAAAAGAAATATAAATAAAATTCAGATCCATAATCGTAAGGGTCTAGTTAAGGACAAGACAGAAAGCAATTCAATTTGGGAAGAAAACATTTTGCAGTTGTGGAGGAAAACAAGGTTTATAGAAAGAAAAACGGTACGAGAATAGAAGAGAAGAGAAGCGTGATGAACGAACCTCCAAAAGAACGAAAGAATGGAATTTGAACAAAGAAATTCAGTGAGTGGAAGTAAACCAGAGTCACCAGACAGTGCAGAACCAAAGCGCAAGTGACTGGTTTAGTGTTGTGAGGGTAAGAGAAAGAACCTTGTCTCCCTATTTATAGTGATCACTGCCTCCTTCGTATGACTGGATACCGGAACCGGCGGTGGTGCCGTTAGATTTGAGACCCAAATCAAAGGGGTCGGTGAGATTGTGATTTGCTATGGCGAGAGCGCGTCTATAACCGGGTACCACCGGTCACTCACCAACCTCCACGGAAAACGTGTCAGTGTCGGTAGCACAATACGTTACAGTAGATCCCACCGTGATCGTTGGTAAAATTTAAAATACTCTTAATAAAACATTACTTTTGCATCTACTTGTAAGCAAAAATTATTCTCTTCTCCATATAAGGGATAGTTAAATCTATTTAATACTTTAATTTTTTATAAATATATTTTTTAAATAATTTTTATTTACATTTATTGAAAATCCACATAGCAATACGTAATAAAAACCTAACATATGTATATTTCACGTCACTCTATTAGTTATTAATTTTAGTGCTGTTAACAATTAGAAATAAATTGCATTAATTTTTTACAAATCAAAATTAAATTGAAATTAATACAAATTGAAAATTCGACTTGATTTTTTTAGAAAAAAATAAAAATTAAATAATTAATTGAACTTTTTTCATATATTTAATGGAAAAAGAAATCGTAAATTTCCTTTTTATTAATATTAATCACTTTTTATTAATATTGTACATAGAAGTAAAATAATAGTTACATAAAATAACCAAATAATGAAATTGTATAAGTAAAATATTTTATTTCTATGAAAGAATAATTGTGACATACTATTTGTAATAAAAAAATATTTTGAGACTGCACTATATTATTTTGAAGTTTTTCATAAAATAACATTAATTATTTCCGTTTGCGTGGAAATAGAAAAACATTACATAATGCTGAGTAGTTGAACAATGGTAGAGAGTTCAACAAGTAAAAAAAATACGCAACGTTAAATCAAGTACCGAAATTAGATCCAGAGAGAGAAAGACAAAACAACCCACAACAGTAGAAGCAAAAAACTAAGTGATAGAAAATTGCAAATAAAAATCATTTTCATAACTATAACAGTCTAGTTAGGACAAACATGTAATCAAATGAAATTTCTTTCGACGGTTTCTTAAAGAGAAATTATATATGTATATATGATAAGAGTTTAAGAATTTTATATCAAAACAAGTGAGTTTTTTTATCTTATATAATATTTAAATTTATTATATATATTTTAATATATAACTTAGACATTTAAATTATATCTTGTATAATTAGAAAGTAACCAGGTGAACCTACACTGAAAATGTCGTATCTAAATGCTACTTACCGCGATAGAATTAGCGAAAGAAGCTAAATAAAAGAAAGCATAGAGAAAATTGATGAATATAAAGAAAGACACTCATTGTAACAAGACCACACCTTACAGAACCAAACTACAAACAAACAAATGAATTGTGTGGTGCTGCGTGAGGAAATGCGTGGACCCCACACGACCGAACACCGGAACTACCTGTCTCGCCGTTAGATTTTAATCCTATATAAGGGGTTTGGTGAGATTGCCATTTATCAGAATTTATAGAAATGCAACATGAATTCAAACTCACACCTAAAGTAAATGAAAATTTTGATTTACACATGAAAAAAGACTTATAAATACATAGTTTTAGAATTTTGAGTTGAAGAGAATGCAATACTATTTTATATAAATTGCTTATTTTTCTTCTTCGTCATGAAAAAAAAAATATCCACGCCCTTCTATAAGTACAACCGTGGTTCATGGACTAAACATGTTCGTCTTCTTTATGTTTATAATAAAAATATAGATTTGTTTGTGATTGCCATGCTTGTTAAAATTATTTTTCTGTTAAAAAATTGTATGTTTTGATTTTAATTAAACTTGGACGTGTGTAGCATAACTTGGTTGTTGATAATTTTGCTGTATAGTAAATGTAGGAAATGCGAATAAGTGGATTATATAAAAGATAAATTGATGAGAGTCAAATGTTGTTGATTGAACTTTTAAGAAGAGAAAGGAAAAGAAAACAACGAACACAAAGTGGTGTTGGTGCAGGTGAATGATTATGCAACATTATTCGTAAGTTGGTGGCTTAATAGAATGTGGAATATGACCTTCATGTTCCAAATACACAAACTTTTTTTTGGATAATAATACTTTGACAATATTGTTTTGATAATATTTTAATATCATTTACGTGTCATGATTAGTCCAAAATACTTCACAATCAATAATAATAATCATAAACATCTAGATAGACCAATCACAGAATAACACTTAGATGGTGTTAAAATGTTGTCAAACTATCATTATCTTTTCTTATAGAAGGAATGTAGATGGTTTCAGTAACTAAATGAACTTTATCACAATATTTGAGTTAAATTGATTTTTTTTATAAAAATAAAAAATTTCTATTTTATCTTTTAAAAATATTTTATATAAATAGTTTTCACTTAACAAAGGAACTTTATTTTAATCTTAAGAATATAGGGATTCCCAATATTTCTGTTTTTCATGAATAATAATTATAAGTAATAAAATTTTCTCTTTCACTTTTACTTTTAGATACTAACATTACAAAAATAGTCATCTACATTATTTAATTTACATCTAACAATATAGAAATGCACGTAAAAAAAGCATAGTCATTTTTATAAATCCGACGTAAAACGAATCATTTAAGTTAAAGGCAAATTTTTTTATGTCGAACATGATAGTATCAAACGTAAATTGAAGCATTTAATTGAACCTTTTTAGTCCAACATATACGTTGTGTGTTTTACATACGACGAAAATTTATGTGCCCTAAAATAATATCTAACCTTAGACTCACATAAAAATGACGTAAAAGGTTGAAGTTTGTGTTAGTGAAATATTCAACCTAATGAAAAAAAAAAACATTTTCTTATTATTCTATGTTACTTATAAACTACTCTCATATATTATGAGTTAAATTTTAAGAAATTAACTAATTTTTATTCAAGTTTCTTCTTTCAGCACCAAAATTATTATTATTATGAGAAAATATGATTCTTTAGGAAGTAATATTTGGCTGGTGTACTAATATTTATATAACTTTTTAGCAAAAAAATAAAATAAATATCAGGTATCCTTTCATGCTAAAATTATTTGATTTACAACATAAATGATCAATAAAAATAGCATGGTATTTTTTATGAAAGTTTTTATTTTAAATAAAAGAAAGTTAGTTTTCCACCTCCATTGCACGATGGGATATTTAATAGAAAACACGATTACAATTAATTTCCCGAAAACCTTGTTTACTTATTTTTTATATATAAATTAAATAAGAGGGAAACATATTTTTTCAGTTTCATATTTCTGAAAAGAAAAAATATTTTACTATGTTATAAATTTTCAAATATAGAGACCTCAAAATAAAATATCTAAAATGAAAACCCACACATACATGATGTTGGGAATCCAAGTGTCAGTCTAAGTTTTACATTGGATAAAAATGAAAAAGTAGAGCAATATATAAAGATAAAAGACCCATTAACTCATTGTCTTAAGGTTTTGGGTAAAGATGAGTGTCAATATTTTATAATTGGCTCAGATGTGATTGGTGTTTGTGTAACTCACAAGAAACCTCTTCCTCAATAGATCAAACAGTGACATCGTGGTGTCAATCCTTTATATAGTTGGCTCAAATATGATTATTGTTTGTGTAACTCACAAGGAACCTCTTTGATAAACCTAACAAATAGATGGAGATGGATAACATAACACTTTTTTGGTATTTCATCGCTCTTTGAAGAAGAAGAAAAAATGACAAAGTTTTGAAATCATCTTAATCGATGTGAAGTGTTGACTAAACTGTTAGATATTATTAACTAATTGATGAGAAAAAAACCAACACGAATGAACTTCACAACCCATTAGCCTTGTGTAGGTCAAACATAGTCAAGTCTGGTTCATCACTTTCAACATTTTAGACTCAGATATACTTCATCATCTTTAAAACCATCACCATTTCTCTCTATCAATGAGAAGAAAAACAACGTCACGTTCTTTGACAATCATGCGTAATCACAATCATTAATTTTAATCTTCATTTTATATTCCTTTCTTTTATGGGTAGAGAAACAAAAAGAAAAAAGAAAAAAAGGAAAATCTAAGAACAACTCAAGGTTTGAACTTTACAATCTGTGGAAAGAGATAGAGAACCCCATTTGTTTACGCGTTTGAAGGTGGGTGAGTGGTGGCAACTTGCTATTTTTCAACGCAAAGTTGCAGATCTCATATTCTGGATGCATCAGAAAACCATAAATGTAGTAACGTGCAACGTGCTATCGACCACCTAAGACAATTTGTCGCCATTTTCTTATGGTGTAGTAATTGTTTTATGAGAAAGGAGACTCCAAAATCGGTTACTATCAATAACGTACTTGGGTTGAAAAACATGGAACGTTAATTAAATTCAGGTTAAATATATTTATAATTTTTAAATTTAAACGTAAAACTAAAATTTATTTTGTTTTAAATTTTGATATATTTTAATTTTTAAATTTAAAAAATGAATATGTACAGTATTTTTAATCCATTTAAATTAATTATTTTTGCATGTCAAATAATCTTTAAAATTAATATTTGAATTAAAGTGTGTGTGTAAAAAATTCAAACATATGAGACGTAAACAAAATTTTCATAATTATATTAAAATGATTATATCTATTATTTTAAAACTTTGAATATAAAATTTAAAAAAAAAATTGTATCAAAATTTGAAACTGATATCATTTCAATTTTATGTTTAAGTTTAAAGATAAAAATATATTTAACCCTTAAAATTAACCATGCATTAAAGCATGCAGAGAATGTGGATAAAAACAAATGTGAAGAAAAGAATATGTTTCATTTACATACCTGGAAAGAATTATTCTCCAACAGTTTATCATAAATAGCTTTAAAACATTTTTAGAAACCAATTCTATAATTGATTGGAAGCCTAACTCTTCTTTTTAAAATGTTATTGGTTAAAGGTTAAAGAAATAAAGCC